TGTGTGTGTGTTTATGTGTATATCATACAGATATGATGAGTAAAATGATGAAAATGAGATGTGCACATGCATGTTCATGCAAACACACACACACACACACATACACACACATTTCCTTATAAAAATAATGTTATCCTCCTGGGAGTCACCATTCCTTACCTCTACTGTCTAAACATTTTCACAGTGATGTTACTTGACCAGAGGCACCAACAACCAATTCAGAAACATGACCATGCAAATTAAATAACTTGCTGATTTTATTCAAAGAACTTATTAAAAGCCTAATGAAAAAAATACAAGGATAAAAACATGTCTATATTGAACTTAAAACTATTTAGAATCAAGCTTTTACTGAAGTTTTGGTCCACATTTTGGGTTGATATTCACAAGAATTTATAAATAGGAACTCTTCTCTATTAAACCATGTCATGTCACTCAAAATATATTGCATATCACCGAGAAGATAAAACTATCTGACACATGAACACACATACATTTTGCCATAATTCTACTTCCTCTTTTATTCTCTCTCATGTTCTCAAACTCTACAATATCATAGTTCTCATGTCATTTTCCCTGAATTTAGCTAAGCCAGATGAAAAGTTATTGTTAGGCATCGTTAAGTAGTTAATTCATAGTAACCAGATCTGTTGTTCAGAACAATCTCTCTGAACCCTGCCCTTTACTGTGCCATCCTCCTCATTTCTAACACACTTAAGCTCACTGCTACAATCACTTTGTCAGTACAACTGGTTGCGGATCTTCCTCTCTTTCACCAACCCTCCACTTTTCCAAGTATGATTTCACCCTCCAAGGACTAGCCTCTCCTAACAACATGGCCAAAGTATGTGAGAAACTGTCTTACTATTTTTGCCGCCAAGGAGCACTCTGTGTTCACCTTCTCTAAGACTTATCTGTTCTTTGGCAGACCATGAGATTACTGAGTGTTCTCTTCCAATACCACAGCTCAAGGGCATCAAGTCTTTCACCATCCTTATTCACTGTCCAGCTCTCAGATGCTTAGCAAGTGACTGAAATGACCATGACATGAATCAGGTGCTTGTTACCTTTACTGATATCATCACTTTAATTTAATTTAATTTAATTTAATTTAAAGAGGTGGCTGACTGCAGACTTGCCCAATTCAATGTAATGCATCTCCTGATCCCCTGATAGAAAGGGTGTTGATTATGAATCCAAGTAAGATGAAATTGTTGACAATTTCAATCTTTTCTCCACCTATCATGATACTGATATTGGTCCAGTGGAGAGAATTTTTGTTTTATTGATGTTGAAATGAAATCCATATTGAAAGTTGTACTCTTTAATCTTTTAGGGTAAGGGCTTCAAGTCCTCCTCACTTTCAGTAACCAAAATTGTGTCATCTTCATAACACAAGTTGTTAGTTAGTCTTCCTCCGATCCTATGCCACATTCCTCCTCATAAAGAACTTCTCAAATTATTTGCTCACAATATAGATATGCAGAAAGGATACAACCCTAACACACACCTTTCTTCATTTTAAACCACGCAAAGTACAACTGCTCTGTTTGGACAACAGCTTTTTGGTCTAAGTTTAGGTTTCACATAAAGATGAAAAGTTGTTGCTTATGTTGTTGTTGGGTGCTGCTGAGTTGAGGATGACTCATTATGACCTTAAGAACAAAAGATCTGAACCCTGTTCTATCCTCACACTTCCTGACACACAAGCAGTCACTGTCTCGAAAAGTAGGATAAAGCATTTCTGATCTCCATTTTAAGGTCTTTACTTATTAGTGAGTCAATATTTATTGTAGGTTTTACATAAGGTACTATGATGAGAGTAAAAAGAAAATAGAAATGATAAAGTTACTGCCCTAAAGTTACTCTTAAAAAGACAAGAATAAACAGTAGGTATTATACTATAGAAAATATATGAGAGAAGTACGTAAATTAGGAAAACTTTCTAAGAGAAAATTTAGCAAGAAAGACAAGGGAAAGTTAATCAAGTAAAAGAGACAGTAAATAGATGGAAGCCTGGGAGAAAGCAGTCCAGGTAAGAGAGCTGGTATATACAAAGGCAAACTGGCACATTAGAGAAAAAGCAAAAAGTTTTATATCACTGAGTGAACAGTAAAACCTAAGATGTGTGAGTAAGAATAAGCTAGACAACTACAAGTCATATATGTTCCTATACAACAGTTAAATACTTTCCACGTCACCATTTACATCTAACTTTGACAACTAAGGTATGCCTGATAGAGGCCATAGAATTCTCAATCATCTGCTACACATCTGAGAGCTGGACAGTGAATAAGGATGCAGAAGAATTATTGATGCCTTTGAGTTGTAGTGCTGAACAAGAGTACTGAGTGTCCCATGGACTGCCAAAAGAACTAACAGATATGTCCTGGAGAGCATGCAGACAGTGTGTCCTCTGAAGGCAAGGATGACGAAGTTTCATCGTTCATACTTTGGTTATATAGCTAGGCAAGGCTGTTCCTTGGAAAGGAATATCATGCTTAGAAAGATGAAGAGGCAACAAAGGGAAGGAAGTCCTTCAACAAGATGGACTGATGTGGTGACTCCAGCAATGGGTTTTAGAGTCTCAGAGATAGGATGGCAGAGGTTGGCTGTTCATAGGTCACTATGAGTCGTACTTGACTCAGTGGCACCAAACAACAAGAGTGTGTGTGAGCGTGTATGTGTCTACGTGTGTGACATATACACACATATAAATATTTATAAGTTATGATGAGTGTGATATGAGACAGAAATTTCAGGAGCTCTGGTGGCC